CAACAATTCTTGCCCACTCCCTGGGCAATACAACATTCTTTTTACACACATTCATAATTAATTTACATAGTCCATTCTTTTTATTTTTACTCATTTATACTCATATTTCGTTATTCATCTTTACCCGTGGAAGATTGTAGATCTAACAGTGGAAAGCTCGTATATCTATAAACATTTTTAGCCAGAGATCGTTTTTAAATTTTTATTATGCTCAACCCTGGCTACGGTCCTTCAATATTTCTACATCAGAAACTTGTTGGTTACGTAATTCATGCATAGTGTACGAGCGCAAAACAAAAGCTTATGCACGGTCATGGACCTTCCAAAATAAATCTTGGCATCTTTGTTTGCTCCTTTGATATTTGCGGGGCTTCATTACCAGTTCCCTTTATTAACTATGATTTGGACCAGCTTGAAACAAGCTAATTGCCTTGCGTATGAACGTATGAGGAAGGCAAGGCTAAGAGAAAAGATAGCACCATGTTGATTTACAGTTTTATGGGTGTGGTAAAAAAAGTGTCAAGAAAATTTTGCCGAAGGGATTAATTAAAATCTTAGTTAACTAGTCAATATTGTTCTATATGCTGGCTAAATTGTCATGTTAACCGCTTTGTGTCGCGGCTCCGAAGTATGGCCTCTTGATCTCTTTTATACCCATTGTGTTTAAATTCAATCGAGCCGAGAGTTGCAAACGGTACTTACAAAACTAAGAAAACCCTTTAGGAACTATCCTCAGCGGACCAAGAAACTTTGATAAAAGCCGAGGGATTGCTATTTAGCTCCACAGTTTTGGAAAAACACAGGCGAGAAGAGAAATCTTTACTTATTGAGAAGTCAGAGTTGATTTGATTTTCCAGGTAGGTTCAAAACGTTCTTAGTAAATTTATAACCATGGCAGAAACAAATATCAGAATAACTATGGTGTTTTTTTTTATAGTAAGAGAGTTAAAAAAAAATGTTTGGCATATGTGCGTGGTGATAATTCAAATTATTGCTACCTCCTCGTCCAAGAAAACAACCAAACCAATTAATCGTGTTTGGTTCGCTGCTTATTAAGAGAAGAAGTCGGGCAACACGCTGTTTGAAGCCAAATCGCGCCCGTAAAGGCCTTCCGAGTGCTAAAAAAAGAGTTAAATTTAATTCTTGACTGACAGGTCGCACGGCAGAAATACGACGTTTGGAAGAGGCCTAAGCTTCTAGAAGTAAAATGAACGGATAATTATGGAGCGAAAAATTATTTCAGTTTAATACTGGGCGACCAACGCGCGCATTCAGTGTTTGTTTGATACAGCATTGATGCCTTTAAAGCAAACAACCTCGAGAGTTAGCTACACGTAGAAATAACACGATTGCGAAACGTTTAGTCGCGGTTAATTATGTAGCATCTATTTATGCATCTGACCTGGATTTTTGACCATTTTTAAACATCTGGGCTGCTTTATTGTTAGGCTATTGTTCTAAACAGGTGATTATGCAAACAGGTGATTATGCGAACCACTCCCATTTTAAAACAAAACTTTTGATATGAGTAAAACTTTTCTCAATCTTTCAAAATTGTATATATTGGAAAGAATTCTTGGGCTGTTTAGTGTTAGTCAGTGATTCTTGACCAATGGACCACTGTACGTTCGTTGTCGTTTCAGATGACTGGCTTTGTTCTACTATTGCCGGCATTTCTCTTTTGGCTCCAGGCCCCAACGGGATGTCACGGTCGCCGTGCAAGTTCAAGTTCCCCGGATATTAGCTATGCTATCCTGATTGACGCTGGATCGACGGGCAGTCGGATGTACATCTACAAATTCAACTTGAACGGAAATGGAAAAGTTGACAGCGTTGACGATGTTGAAGAACTGACCAACTCGCTTGGAAAAGTCAAACCGGGGCTTTCGTCGATGCTTAACAAACCGGACGACATCGAGGCGTACTTTCAGAAATTATTTGACGAAGCTGACAAGATTATCCCAAAAGAAAAACAGAGCTCTACTCCTTTTGTCGTGCTAGCGACCGCTGGTATGCGCCTATTGCCCGAGCCAGATCAAGATGCCATCATGAATAAGGTAAAAGAAATACTGAACAGCGATGACTCGCCATTCCTTTTCAAAGATGACAATGTCCAAGTTATTTCAGGGAAAGAAGAAGCTATCTTCGCCTGGATCACCGTAAATTTCATTCAAGGCGTGTTGACTTCGCCAAAGAGACGGGGCTTTTCTTGGGGCGTCTTAGACATGGGCGGGGCCTCGACCCAAAACACAATGAGTCTTTTCAAGAAGCCTAGACACAGTACGACCGTAAAACTGGGAAAGAAAATCTACAGATTGTTCGCCAGAAGCTATTTGGATATGGGGCTGGCAAGGATTCACGATCGCTATCTGGAGTTTCTGGATCAGTGGAAAAACAAATCGTTAGCCAACGTGGGTGGTCTGGAATATGCCAAGAGTCCTTGTCATCATGAAGGCTTCATGGGATCGATCGGATCCGAAAGCATGAATGTTATTGGACAGCCTAACTCGGAGGTAGGATAGATACTTCTATCACAGTCACTTATAAGAGTCTGGGTGGGTTTAGGTGATTGTGGAAAATTTGTTGAAGGCTTAACCGTTGGCGCGGCTCAGAAATGCTGCGTGTCTTTGACCAATAGCTAAGATCTAAGACCTACAGCGATAGCTGAGAAATGGGCAGAAATTTTAACTCGTGCATCCATATGCAGACCCTTTCTAAGTGGAAATAAGAGTATTTTAGATCTCGCTGCTCATGTTCACCTCAGCGGTCAAAACTAAGTCAGAAATTTAATCAGTTTCTCTCGTGTTAAGCCTCTCTATTGGTACGCCAAAAACTCGTTTTCGTCGCATTTTTTGGCAAATCTTCGCTTTTTTTGAGCAGATCTTCGGTTTTATGGATTGAAATCATTGCATTCAAGAGAGTGCAGTCAATGTTATTCACAGCCGAAAACTTATCTCACGGCATAAACAACTGTATAAATTCGAGAAAACCAAACTAAAATGACTGCTTAAGCAATAACAAGAGAAATTAACATCATAGGCGTACGGGCACCTTCGGACTTGGTGGGGTAGACTGTTCTATTGGGGGGGGGGGGGGGGGGGNCGATAGCTGAGAAATGGGCAGAAATTTTAACTCGTGCATCCATATGCAGACCCTTTCTAAGTGGAAATAAGAGTATTTTAGATCTCGCTGCTCATGTTCACCTCAGCAGTCAAAACTAAGTCAGAAATTTAATCAGTTTCCCTCGTGTTAAGCCTCTCTATTGGTACGCCAAAAACTCGTTTTCGTCGCATTTTTTGGCAAATCTTCGCGGGAGCGGTGACCTTATTGCCTGAAAAAAATTACGCAGTGACAGAAGGCATGTGTTGTACAAACGCACTCAAATCGCAGCCTATGATTAACATTGTGCATTGTAGTTTTTTTACTTTATATCTTGATATTGGTCAATAATCTTATTGCGCGAATTTTTAAATCTGCGTTTCAATCTTGAGATCTTCGTTTCTTCCGCGGTAATCATCGCGTATAAATACCCATAGAGGGGCTCAATGCG